TACTAAAAATTTATAAAAGTAACAAGTTCTTTATCTTGTCACTAGAAAATGGAATTTAAATGCTACAGCTAAGTAGTCTAAAGAATTAAGAATAAAATTCATCAGCTTTTACAGTACTTTGCAAATTAACTACTGGATGGACTGTATTTCCACTTAAACTCATTTAAACGTACCTAATCATCACAAATGCAATAGAAAACAGGAACATGTTAAGCACTGCTTATATCTAAACCCTGGAGTTGAATAATGAAAAGGAGATGGGAAAAAGAACAGGACTGAATGGTTATAATCCCCAATGGGACATTTTCAATAAATGATTTTTAGGGAGGAGTCCTGAAAAGTATTTTCTCACAGAACTTGAGCAAAGACTAATATGGCCCACTTGGATCAATCATTTTATAGGATATAAACATAACTGTGTAGACTTTTAAATTCTTTCTTGACCTATTAGCAAATTTAACACTGTTGACCATATCCTCCTCAAAACAAACTTCCATGGGCTTTTCTCATATCACTGGATTTCTTCCAAATCCTCCAGATATTATCCCTCAGTATCCTTTGCCAGCTTTTGTTTATATGACTACCCCTTATGAGGTTTTCTGGGACTTCTTTCTTAGGTCATCTTTTTTTCCCTCCACTCCATACTATCTGTAAGTGTTTGTACCCACTTTCTTGATTTTAATCACAAGAAGCTTGCTGGTGTCTCCAAAACCTTTAAAAATCTCTAGCTTTTAAGATAGCTATAATCTCACATTATCCCAGAGTTCATTTAAAGGACTCTATGTAGAATATTCATTGTACTATGGCAACTATGGAATGTGTCACTTAACAACACACAAAGACCAATAACCCCTTAAGTGGCTTATACGTGAAAAGGCCAATGACCTAACAATGCATGAAGGTTGAAGACCCTGATTCCACCGGCTACTGCTAAACATGGTCTTTATCTAGCTAAAGGGTTAAAAGGAAAAGCAAGTTACTAAATGGGTAACAAGTAAATTTTATGTCAAAAATGTAGCTGCTTTCCATTAATGTTATAATATTTATTAAAACTTCAGCTGAAGAAATTGTTGTAAATGAAAACAAAAATGTAACCCAGTATAAAACAGAAACTATCAGTGAATCAATTAAACAAATATGTAAGTATAATATAAAAAATGGAAGAAGAAAAATAAAAATGCAGCACATGATTAGCTTCCACAGTTCGAAGAATAAAAAGACAAGATGTCAACTGATAACAAGGAAATTCATAATGCTGAAAAGGTAACACTACACTAACCCACTTTCCCCAGTGATATGAGGTGAATGTTTGTGCCCCTCTCAAAATTCATATACTAAAATCCTAAGCTCCAATGTGATGGTATTAGAAGGTGGGGCTATTAAGGGGTAATTAGGTCATGAAGGTGGAGCCTTATGAATGGGATTAGTGCCCATTCTCATAAAAATACATGAGAGGGCTTGCTTTGTGTCTCTGCTTGCCACCATCTGAGGATATAACGATAGGATGGTGAACATAAACCAGGAAGAGGGCCTTCACCAAAACCCAACCATGATCTCAGACTTCAAGCCCCCAGAACTGAGAAATAAATGTTTCTTGTTTAAGAACATTTAAGCCACCCAGTCTATAGTCTTCTGTATAGCAGGCCAAATTGACTAATATACCCAAGAAAAGGTATTAAAGACCAAAATGGTCTTTGAAACCACTATGAACAGCTGTCAAACTATTTCTGCTATTCAAAACTATCAGATGTCCATGAGTTGGTAATTCTTTTCATTTATAAGATTTTTTCCCCTTGTTAAAAAATTTAGCATCAAAAATTATGAATAACATTTCAACCTGAGAAAGTTGATTTAAAAATGAAAAAAGAATATGTAACCTAAACATCTGTACCCCCATAATATGCTGAAATAAAAGAAAAAAAAATGAAAAAAAAAAATTGTGAATAACAAAATGAAACTACAAACTGGATTACTATCTAACACAATGCATGAGATATGAGCACCCATAAGCCAAAAGTCATAACTCATTAGTAGATGAAGACTTCATGTAGAAAAGTAAAAAGCTTTCTGGGGGGAAAAGGAGGTAGGAAGAAAACAAAATGTTAAGATATGCAATATCTAATATAGGATTTGTTATATCTTATATTCTTTTTTGTATATTTCAAATATTTTATAAATTTTATAAAGAAAAGGTAAAATGTAGGCATACTAGAAGAAAATAAAAATATACAGGTTGGGTATCCCTAATGAAAAAATTCAAAATCTGAGTTTTTGAGCACCAACACAACGCTCAACGGATATGCTCACTGGAGCATTTTTAGATTTTGGATTTTTGGATTTGGGAATCCAAAACAGTTTTGGCCCCAAGCATTTCAGATAAGGGGTACTCAACATATATTGACAATCTCCTTGAGAATGTTTTTATCACTCAATGATTAAAAACTCACAAGTATATCTTTAATAAACCATTTAACATTTCCTAATCAGTTTTTATTATTAATTCTCTAACCAATGTGTGTGTGTGTGTGTGTGTGTGTGTGTGTGTGTGTGTGTGTGTCTGTGGTGTATATCTCAAATAAAGAAACCCTTCTAAAATTTATTTCCATTAATTTTATTTGGGCCATTCTTATAATATATTCCAGTATTAGAATTTTGCTTAAATTTAAAAATAGAAATTGACCTTAATTTCTTAAATTGGATTTCTTTCAGAAATCACTTAACTGCAAGTTAAGATCTTACTTAATAACACACAATTATGAAAAAATAAATGATATATTACAAATGAAGGTTAACTGGATTTATAATTTGGGGGCACTTTTTAGAGAACCTTTAAACATATTAATCACTTAGGAATGTAAGTAAAAGCTAAGTAAAACCACATAGTAACACTGAGTGTTCAATAAGATGCTTCAAAACATAAACTTCAAAAATATCTTTGCACTTTGGATAGCAGACAAATTTGCCTCAAACAAAAATAAGGCTTAAAAACACAGCATTCTGATGAAGATGTTAGTTTAAATAAAAATAGCTATCATGTTTCAATGTTTCTTTATAAAATTTTTAAAGTTTATATGTCCGCACACCAAGAAACATTACATCAAGCAATTCATATAACATATTTGAATATCAGGCATTTCTTATATTTTACCTGTCCCAGGGAGTAGAAGTCTCAAAAGATTCTCCTAATACACAGTATTCCAAAGCCAAGTCCTGTTAAGACATACAGAAAAATCAGGCAACTGCAACAGATGCTAAAGAACCAATAATACTAATGGTATTTCATGTTCACTGTCAGTATTGTATGTTTCTAATTTAATTTTGACTGCTCTTTACTATTCACCTCCTAAGAACGCTGGAAAGTTGCCCTGACAGTGAGATATGACCTCCATGAGGACAGGAATCTTGCCTGTCTTATACTCCTCTGTATCCTTGGTACCAGGCAGAGTGTCTGACACAGGGTAGAAATTCTATTTCTCTAGTGAATGATGTCTCTATCCACGAACAGTTTATATATATGAAGAGAATACTAGAAGAATAGATTTTTTTTTTTTTTTTGTCCTAAATAGCAACTTAACCAGTATCAAAAACTGGTCATCAAGATTGAAGGAGCAAGAGGGTTTGGGAGCTGGAGGTACAGAAGGAAGAGAAGGTCTCTTTTCTTAAAATCAACTTTTCCTTAAAAACAAATTTAGAAAATATAGTTCCTCTCTTTGAAGTGAGAGAATACATAGAATATCTGGAGGCACCTCTGCTAGAAAAATATTTTCTATTGTACAGATTTAATACTTATATTACAAGTAACTTACAACACCTAATTTTTTTACCAGAGCACAATCGTTTCATTACCTAAACTGAAAGATAATTGGTGACAATGGTATTAACCAATGGAAAATTTTTTAAAAGAGAAAACAAACAATCCGGGGGAAAAAATCCCTAATGTGCTTTTGACTTAGCTTTAACATTAATTGGAATCTTAAAAATCAAGATACTTATTCCAAATTGTGTCTATGCTATACTTGTTACAGTTATAGTTCATTTTCTAGAATTCTGAATTCAGTATTATGGCAAAACGGTCAATATCGCCCAAGAAAATGCCTCACAAACAAAATTTTATGTATATTCAAAATAGTTACTATGGGTAGAACCTGGAGTACTGACAGTCTGTAGAGGTAGATGTTATTTATAAGATCTATAATATAATCACCTATTACTTTTCTTGATCAGTACATCTCATCAGAATTTCTAACACAGTAAACAGGCAATAAATACGCTTTTCCTTATCAGCATCATGAGGGGGGACAGGAAGGAAGGACAATATGCTTCGAATTCACTATAATTTGAAATTTAGATCTTAGCTAGGATTAAATTATTTCTAAAATGAGAACACATTAAGCAAGTTTACTTAGAGAAATAAAAAGCTGTATATAAATTTATATAAGAATTTCCTTCAGGCCAGGCATGGTGGCTCACACCTGTAATCCTAGCACTCTGGGAGGCCGAGGCGGGCAGATCGTTGGAGCTCAGGAGTTCGAGACCAGCCTGAGCAAGAGCGAGACCCCATCTCTACTAAAAATAGAAAGAAATTGGCTAAACAACTAAAAATATAAAAAATTAGCCGGGCATGGTGGCGCATGCCTGTAGTCCCAGCTACCCGGGAGGCTGAGGCAGTAGGATTGCTTGAGCCCAGGAGTTTGAGGTTGCTGTGAGCTTAGGCTGACGCCACGGCACTCTAGCCCAGGCAACAGAGTAAGACTCTGTCTCAAAAAAAAAAAAAAAGAGAAAAAGAATTTCCTTCAAAATAATTTCTAAGTGAAAAACTAAAAAATTTAGTATTTGGAGGTGATGGATATCCCAATTACCCTGATTTTATCTTTATACATTATGTGAATGTATCCAAATATCACATATACTCCAAAAATATGTACATTTATTATGTTTCAATTAAAAAAATTTTAATGATAAAAACAGGAAAATTTAGTATTTGGGGAAGCCACATTCTCAGAATATCTGAAAAATGACTTTTTAGAATAAGATCATTCAAATTATATAAAAGGGGAAATTTAAAAAAAGTAACCCCACCAACAGCAGAAAACAATTAAGAAACTTGAGTTTGTTACAACCAAAGTAGAAAAACAAAACTAAATGAAAAAATAAAACTTCAAAAGAACAATTTCGCATAAGTACAGCAGACTTGAAATTAACAAGAATAATGAAGTTTCTCAGAGTAGAAAATCTAGAATTAGAAAAACTTTAGTGCTCAACTACACATACATTATTTCTTTAATTCTATACAGTAATCATCACCAATAACTACTTGGAATCATGTTAAATATCAACTTTAAAAGACACAGTTAAAGATTTGTATATCTTTAAAACAGATTCTGAATTAAGTGAGGAATGTTGCTAATAAAACAGCTTGATTCTAACCAAGTAATGTTAGGAATGGCATGCTCAATTTTTAGACAGAGAAGGGCTCCATTCTTTTAAAGAGCACAAAGACATATTAAATCTGCTGTCCCCAACCTCCAGGTCAAGGACCGGTACCAGTCTATGGCCTGTTAGGAACTGGGACACCCAGCAGGTGGTAGGGGGCAAGCAAGCGAGCAAAAGCTTCATCTATATTTACAGCTGCTCCCCATGCTCATCACAGCATAAGCTCTGCCTCCTGCCAGATGAACAACAGCAGCATTATATTCTCCCAGGAGCCCAAATCCTACTGTAAACTGCTTACGTGAGGGATCTAGTTTGCATGCTCCTTATGAGAATCTAATGCCTGATGATCTGAGGTGGAGCTCAGGCAGCAATGCTAGCGCAGGGGAGCAGCTGCAAACACACATTATCATTAGCAGAGAGGTTTGACTGCACAACAAATGCAATGCGCTTGAATCATCCCAAAACCATCCCCCTCAACCCAGTCTGTGGAAAAATTGTCTTCCATGAAACTGGTCCCTGGTGCCAAAAAGGTTGGGGACCGCTGTATTAAATCATCTTTAAGTTCCTTGGAAGCATAAATAGAATGTTTAAATGAGCTTATGAAGATTCATAGCTAATCCAGGGTTTATGTAAAATGATGTGTTAAATTACAGTAGCTTAAAATTTAAGAAAATAAAAAAGACAATTTTATTCAAAGTCAAGAAAAAGTATTGCTTGTAACATAAATTAAGTGATAAAGGAAAAATATGAAATAACTTACTCGAATATATGCAATGACATAGGTCAGTAAATAACCTCTCTGTCCATTATCTTCTCCAACTGCCAACCCACTGTAATTAAAGAACAAACTATTAATACATTTCAAATCAACTATTGCAAATATATCAAATTAACCAAACTGATATGATACCTCAAGACAACTGCTTAATAGATTAACATATATTACATCTTATTTTTTCTTAATCTCATTTATCATAAATATATGAAATGACATTAAGAGAATAAGCTTGGATAACAAATTAAAACTGAAAACACTTTTAGTATTTCAGATTAGTCATTAATTTCAAACTTTTATCCACTAGACTAATAAAACTGACTCTCATGAACTCAACTATTTCTATCCATATTCTCAAAAGAACAGAAAAAGAATTAATCATGAGAAACAAACTTAAATAAGCGGAAATAATCTTCACAAGCATAAGATATTTAAAATATTCTTTTATTCATATTACGTTCTTATTCATATACTCATATATTGTTATAGTCTTATTCATATATAAAGAAATGTGATGACTGACTAGGAACTCCCAAATACCAAGAAGTTTCTTGAATAGTTGAGCATATAGTATTTGGAGTGTTAGATATAGTATGCATCTTATGGAATTCATGATTTAAATGAGAGACAAAAGATACTCAGAAATATTAAAAGTTTATAAAGCAATATACAGAAAGTGTAAGACCAATAGGTAAAGTCTTATTACTGTGAACATATAAACTGTCCCTTTCAATTTGAAAGTAGTTTTATACATAGAAATTGTATTTAATGATCTAGTTAGAATTAATCCCATATAATTCAGTTCAAGGACTCTAGTTTTTAAAAGTTACTCCTATTTTAAAAAAATGATGAGTAAGTATTGTTTTCCACTACTTTGAGTAAAGAGTTTTTAATTTTGCTTTTCCCATTATCAAACAGAAATTAAACTTTCACTTGTTTTAGTCAACTAAAGGAAAAATTATTACTCTTATGGCCTCAATTAACACCTCATAATTAAATCTTGAAGTTTTGTTTGATTGGTGGTAAGTAAATAATACCATGTAGATGTATTCTTGTTCCATAGAAATGCTGTAAGATAATTTCAAGCTAGAATATATAGGCTAAATCAGAATTTCCTGACACAATATTACAGGTGGATATATACAAATCAGTATCACTCAAAAGGAGTGGCAAAGACTTGATAGAAGCAGCTCTACTCTGGAACAACTTGAGGACAAGGTATAATAAAGTGAAGGGGATTGTTTGTATTAATAGAATGTTTTTTTGTTTTTTTAGAGACAGGGTCTTGCTCTGTCACCCATACTGGAGTATAGTAGCATGATCATAGCTGACTGCAACCTCAAACTCCTGGACTCAAGGGAATCTTCTCACGTAGGATGACAAGCGCAAGCCACCATGCCCAGTTAATTTTTCTTTTTTTTTTTTTGTAGAGAAGAGGTCTTACTATGTTTCCCAGGCTGGTCTTAAACTCCTGGGCTCAAGCAATCCTCCCACCTTGGCCTCCCAAAGTGCTGAGATTACAGGCGTGAGCCACTGTGCCCAGCCTGTATTAACAGAATGTTGATGAGCAATGAAGATAGAATTTAGGTCAATTCAGCTGAAAGTGAAAAGAAAGAAATGACAGAAGACAATTCTGGGTTAGATGTGAGGCTGGAGTCAGAAAGCCAAATAAAGTTCCAAAACAAAAGGAAAACAAGTCAAAACTGCTGTAGCAAGTGCCTGGAAGAAAATAGCTGAGCCCATGGCTTAGTTAGGTAGACTAAAAAAACAGTCAGATTCTGAGTCCAAGACAGAAAAAAATAGTACAGATCTAGAAAACAGAAACAGTTCATCCTGGACTTAGTGGTAGAAGGAAAAGAAAGGAGAGTGAATATTAGGAAAAGGTGCATGATATCTATGTTGAGAATCTTTGAGAAAGGAACATGCTAAGTATGTATCTGGTGAGAAGTAACAGGTATGAACATTTAGTAGGCCTGTCTCCATTATGTCAGGATGCAACAAAGTTCTACTTTCCAGTCCCAGTTTAAGTCATTTTCCTTTAGGCCCTCTTCTAATATCTGGCAGCTGGGGGGCGGGGCGGGGGGAGGTGGGGATAGAGGAATGATCTGTTCCACAGTGGGATACAGTGGAACGAACCACATAGAAACACACATTTCCTAATTTAAAGCAGGAAGAAATTGGATGTCCATTCTAAATTCATAAACCCCAAAAGAGAAGAAAAGTCAATCTGGGCTTGCTTTTCTGAATCATAGGTTTCCCTGCAAATTTGGCTTTCTGAAAAATTCTTTTTTTTTAGCTTTCAGAACTGTCAATCTTCTAGCTAGAATTATCTTAAAATACCATATGTAAACCACAGTAGGATTAGAAATTAAATGTTTCTAAATCGTTGCTTTTGTAATCACCCAAAAAGCTACACATAGACTCACACTGCTTTATATTAAAGTAGCAGTATCCACTCCCTACTTTCTGTTCTCTCTACAAATTTGAAACAATTTTCAATTCACAAGGTTCTTAAACAAATTTAAAGCTGTTTCATGAGGAAGGACTGAAAAGACTAATGAAAGAGGAATGAGAGAAGATCTTTTTATATAAAAGGGCCATCTGGTGAACCTAATCATTCTCATGTTAAATTATATTAAACAACTTAAGCACACTTTAAAAATAACGATAACATATTACCTTAAGTTTTATGGTGAATGTCAAAACACCAGTCATAAGTGCTGACAGGTAATGTTTATTCTGTTAAGCTCTTAGAGAAGTTAAAGTACATTACTAGCAAACATGGACAAACAACCAAAGAATGATTATTCGATACTTGGCTACTATGTTTTGTTGGGCCATATATGTTCTCACCATGTTGGGGTCAGGGAGAAAAGGCAAGGAGGAAAAATGGCTAAAACACATAAAAATGCTCTGAACTGTTAGGAGCACTTTATTTAAAACAATCCATTTAAAGCCAATGAGGCAATGGGAATAGAGGATAAAAGAAATTTTTTTAAAGGACAACTTAACAATGCCCTAATTAAAAATAAAATAAATGAGCTAAAAACCAACATATGGACACTTTAGTAGGAAGAAATGTAGTGGTGCTTTCCTCCACCTTGTTATGCAGAAGGGGAAATGACTACAGATTGAGAGTTGGTAGTGTGGCATCTTAAATAAGCAAAATATCCCTAAATCTTCACTAATTAGAACAAAAAATTAGTGCCTACAGAAAAACTGAGGGAAAACTAAAACTTATGCTAGAAAACCAAAAGAAGATATTTCTAAGTATTAAAAAACAAAACAGCCCTAAATCATCTGCCTAATTATAATTCGAGTTGTTTAAAACAGCAGATGTCCACATCTCAATAAAAGGAGCCAGGATGAAAGCACATTAAGAAATTAATCATAACATAACTAAGAAGGAACAAATAATAATAGCAAAAAAAATGAGACCCTAAATTGGGCCAAAATTTTTAACACTTTACCCCTACTTTAAACTGGACTCTCATTCATTATAACCTATACATTTGATACGAGTTTTATTTAATGTAGTCAAAATTGCTGGAATTAAACCAATGGCCCTGGGGCCTCAAGTATCAGTATCTTAAGACAGCTGGATCCCATATCTTAAAGAAGATTCACTCTTATTTTTAAGTTGTAAATGGATGATGTTCTGTGAGAAAACAAAACTGGCATTACTGACATTCATATCAGTTGGTGGCTCAAATTAAACAAAACTGACAAAATGGTTCTGACAAATACCTAACAATGAAAATACACTGTTTTACAGGTGGCATAGTAATTAGACTTAAATGAAGTAGAATAAAAGATATCAAGGAAAACACAGTATTCAGTCTCATTAACTCATTCAACAAATATTTAATCAAGCATCTAGTATGTACTAGGCATTAATGGTGGCGTTCAGGAGACAAAGTCATTGTCCTATAAAAATTATACATGAGGTAGGACAAACAGGCATTTTGTCATCATCCTACCCCAGTCTAACGGGAAATGTGGCACATTACTAACTTGTAATGATTTGCTAGGTACTCTGAACTATAATTACTTACAGATCCTACAAAGTGGAACTCGTGTGTGTCGGGTGGAGAAAGAAGATTAAAGTGAAACTAAGCAAATTTAACCCTATGTACAGTGGTTCAAATATTATAGCAAAATGTCCTCTTCCATTTTCCTACAAGTCTTTCTGAGAAATTTTGAAATCCCAGTTAAATATTTAAATATATTAAGGGACAAATTTTTAAAGTTCCAGTCTCTAATATTTAAGGCTAAAGCAGATATAAAAGATTTTAATTTACATCTCCTTCATTGTTTGTTTCTCACTAATATGTGTTTTAAGAAAACAAAGTCTCTTGATCAAATTACATATATACTTCATACAACTTAGACACTAAAAAATAGGTACACACAGGGTTAAATTCCTTCTGGGAAGGGGAATGTGTACGTTTCAAATTTAAACAAAAACTAGATGACCTGATATCCAAGCCATTTGGTCATTAAATGAATCTTTATAGCATAACTACTTTTAATGAATTTAGTTAAAACATCAATAATTCTCAAAAAAGGCACTGTGGGAGGAGGAAGGTGAAAGATGAATGAACTTTATCTTTTACTAAAGAAATTAAAATTCTATTTGCCAATTTCAGAATGGGGCAAAAATAAAACTGAGAGATTTTCAATACTCAATTTTTAATTTATTTTTGTACTGTTTCTAAGTTCAAGATTAGACCTTTTTCCCCTCTAAGAATACAGCACTTTAACACTAAATTTAGACAATCCTAGAAATAAAGGGCTCGGGAGTGGGGAACCTGTGGCCTTGGGGCCTCATATGGCCTTCTAGATCCTTGACTGCAACCTTTTGACTGAATTCAAATTTTACAAAACAAATCCTTTTATTAAAAGGGGTGCAAGCAGAGAAAGATGAAGCTTTTCTTGCCTCCATTGGTGCTTGAAAAGAACAACCTTGAAATCAGAAGGCTGCAGGTTTCCCACCCCTGTGCCCTGCCCACAGCATGTGTATGATATATTTTAATCCCTGAAATAAAAAAAAAAGATTAGTATCCAGAAAATTGTTAGTTTATGCACTTAAAAATGAAAGGAAAGGAAAAAATGTAGTCCTGATAAATGGCATTTTCACTGCAGTTCTCATTAATCAATCTTATAATCCATCAAGCAGACCGACAGAAACCACCCTATCATTATTCAGTTGGTTATAGATGTGAAATGCTTTCTGTTTCTTTATACCAGCACAAATAATAAGTGACAGGAAATGGAGTATATAGATTATTTATCAAAAACCTTTGATTAAACACAATTTCCTTTTAAAAACACACTAATAGCATTCTTTATACATGTACTATTACCACTAAAGAGTAATATGACAATGAATTTTCTATTTCACTCTAGCACAAAAAATAACAAATATCACAAAATTGACATTAATTTAAAAGTCTAGGAAAAATACAAGATTTAGTAATATTATATATGTGATTAGACAAGGAAGAGCAATATATCAACCTAACTTCCTACAAATTTTGGAAGTAAACCAAAATAATACTTTATATTTAATATCATAAATTATCATGAATTTAATACTAAATTTAAATTAATAACTGCTTGAAGACATGCAGTCTGCTAGGAGACATTAATGCTTGGTACATTAACAACTGTTTGGAGATATCAGAATTTTAGCTTAATCTTCTCTTGGTATTACAAACTTAAAGCCATACCCAAATTTTGCAGCAATGTCATACACTTGTTTTTCATGTTGAAGAACCTTCTCACGATCCCCCTCAAACAGTAACGTGGCTACACTTAGTTGATTTGGATCAAATCCTTTAAACTACAAAAAAGTAAGATATTATTACAGAGAAATGTTATCCTACAAAATAATAAATTAAAATAGTTTGCTCCTTTCCTTAGGATCTGGGCTCAAATACACTAACTTCTTAAAACTTGCACTTTGGAACTTCACATGTCAATCAACAAGAACGTTTAATGAAACTACTTAGGTCACTATAATATAACAAAACTACATAGCACAGGAAAAACACTTTATTTCAAAATGTGCCACGGTGTTAATCAAAATGACATACTGGTATGTAATACAACAAATAACTTTTCAAAATTGTAACTAATAAAGAATCAAATAAAAACTATAAAATAATAAAGTAGCTGTATGGAGGGGGAAAAAGTAAAAACAGCATCCCTAACATAGCAACAATAACTTCTTACTAAATAGTATTTTCAAAGGAGACCTTATACAGAAAATTAAAATAGTTTATCTAATCTTAAAAGGAAACAAATAACTTCATTAGGAAAAAATATCTTAAAAAAGGCAAGAAAGATATATGTTCTTGAATGCACCAAACTAATTACTACAAACTTGTCAATACTTGCCCAAATCAGTGTACTTGTTTATTCCAAATTCTAATAAAAACCTCAATGGACTTTCTAAAACGATCAAAAGTTTCTAAAATTTTTCTAGAATAACAGGTAGGTGACAGTGATAACAAGGAAGATCCTGAATAACAAGAGGGAAAACTAGCCCTACAACAACTAAATCCATTTAATTTTTCAAGAACAAAAAACTCATTAAAAAGAATTAGGTGCATTAAAATGCTGTCTATTTCTTGAATAAGAATACAAGAAGATGTCTTAGGCAGGGCAAATCAATGTAAGACAAGCCAGGATTAACGTTAGTAAATGGTGCTCCCACAACTGGTTAGCAACTGGTGGAGCAGGAAGTGAAGATTTAGATCTTTATCTTACATCATAAAATTGAAATAAATTCAAACAGTAATACAAGCAATTTTTTTAAAAATTCCCATTTAACATAAAAGAAAAAGAATGAGAAGAAAATGGCCCTGTTCATACTTTTGGAGAAGGAAGGCTTTAGAAAAGCTTAGAAG